TGGAAGTGGTTAAGAAGTAATTTTATTTATTTTTGATGTCTTACATGTTACATGTCTTACATGATGTTGTTACTCCACTCATTTGACCTTCTCCTTAAGACCCCACATGCTTGGCTTCCAGTTCATTCACATGGACTCACACTCAGCCTTTCACATCATCAGATAATTCTTCCTCAGCATGAGCAGCATGAACCACTTTCCAGACCGGGGTGATGTTAACATTTGTAGATACATGGACAGCTTACATCTCAAATGCTTGGGTACAGGAAGTGATGTCTCAGAGCTACAAATTTAAGTTTCATTTCCTGGCCCCTCCTCAGCTCCTCGCCTTCATTCTTTCTCTGTCACCACACAGGTTAACAGATGTCCAGGTAAACCTCAATGTTTTTCTGAATCTGGGTGTCATTTTGCCAGCTCTTGTGGCAAAATAGTTTCAGGGGTTTAATTTCAATTGTTTAGACTCCAAATCCAAAGGAGGCTCAGCACCCCCCCCCCCCCCCTTTCTTGTAGGGATTCACCTATTTCTGTTTTTTATCAATGAATACCAATTGTACTCAAGTACTCACCGATACCAATTACTAATACTTTTGTGGTGCAATTTGAGCCCATACAAAATTAATGAACTCAGATCACATTGCAAAGAATAGTATGCAATTTGAAATAGATTGCGGTGCAATTCTTGTCCAAAACGCATACCATTTCCCTCATCACTCCTGTGTGAACCCAGGCTAAGGCCACTAGGACAGGCCTGGGTTCACACAGGAGTAGTGCAGGAAACAACTTGCAATTCAGACAGGAATCACACCTCACTCCTGTTCAAATCACATTATACTCTTTGTAGTGCAGTTTGAGACCATTCATTCGCACTGCAAAGGTATTGGTTTTAGGTTTTCGTTTTTGGAGCATCTGCACAGTACAAGTACTTGTTCAAATGCTTGGTATCGGTATTGGTGCAACCTTACTTTCTTGGATCTTATAGCACTGAATGTCTTATCATTCAAGTTCAGAAATGTGTGTATTCCTTTCTTCATTAGGGATATTTCCTTGCGCCTATGGACATCAAGTGTCTGCCTCTGTCCCATATATCCAGCACACCTGCATTTCTTATGCTTAGCTGTAGATGCCCTGCCATTTAAACTCTCTCCTGCTCCATGGGTGTACACTAAGCTGCTAGCTCTGCTGTGCTCTTGTGACATCTCACTATTGTGGGATACGTAGACGACCTTCTGTTGTAGGGAACAGTTGGCACAGATTCTATCAGATAATGTGTCCTTGACTTTCTTGACATTGCTATGGTTCTGATGGCTCTTGAAAGTCCAAAAATCAGTGCTGAAACTAACGTAGTTCTTGCGCTTTCTAAGTCTAATCCTAAACACAGCTGAGGCGTGAGTTTTTCACTTCCAGGAGAAATGTCAAACTCTGCTCACAGACTCATGATCTTAAGTCTAGGAGTCATCTGACTCTACGTTTTGTATGGCAGTCCTGGCTCTGATGGTAGCCTCCTTCGAGGCAGTCCAGTTTGCCCAGTTTCACTCCAGACCTATAAATGCAATATTTTGTTGTTGTGGAACAAATCGTCCAGTCCCTGGAAAGACCCATTTGTTCAGGACCATTTTGTTGTTGGCTCCAGAATCTGGCTCTGAAATTAGGAAAGTTCTTCATGTTCCTCTATTTGAATATCCTCACAGTGGATGTCAGCTTTCCTGGGTACCCTGTTAGTGTGGTACTAGGCTGCCCTGCTGGAGGACCATCCAATCCACATTTAGCTGGACATTGCTACGAGACATCACATCAGTGAAGTACCAGAAGTCTTGCTTTTTCAAGAGAGGTAGAGTGGATACTGTCCTGGGCACAACTTCATGTTCCAGGTATGTTTGCCAGTTGCACACCAGGCACAGGTACAGACTTCCTCATCTGGTAATGTCTGGACCTAAGGGAGTGGTTCCTAAAGTTGGATTTCAGCTGTGGACATCCTGGCCTCCAGGTTCAAAAACAAACTGGACTGTTTTTTTCTCTAGGTACAGGGATCCTCCAGCAGTGCAGTGGATGCTCTGGTGGCTCCAGGATCAGCACACCCTGATCTATACCTTTCCTTTCCTGAAAACTCTTTCTTGTCTGCTTCGCAGGATCAAGATGGAGGGCATTCTTGTGATCCTCATTGATTTAGACCAGGTAAGACTCCTGGCAGACAGTTGGTCCTGTCAGATCATCTGGATCTTCTGTTTCAAGGGCCGATTCAAGGACTGTTTTACAATATTTCTTCACAATTGCTGGCTTTTACGTCAAGGCTGTTAAAGTATAGGTTCTGAAATAGAGGCATGTTGATTCCCACAATGTTTAAAGTGAGGAATTTTGCTCCTTGCAAGGCTTATCATCTCACATGAAATTACTTCACCTAGTATAACTTTCAGTGGTCAGAAATTTTAGTTGGATGAATCCTCTCCTTTCAACGACCTGGTCTAGGACAGTGTTTGGTTCTCAACACCATTAGGGGTCCGGTTTCTGCTCCTTCTATCGGCTACAGTTGCAAGAAAAAGTATGTGAACCCCTTGGGATTACGTGGAGTTTTGCATGAATTGGGCATAAAATGTGCTCTGAACGTCATCTAAGTCACAATAATAGAAGAACACAGTCTGCTGAACATAATACTACACAAACATTAGATGTTGCCATGGTTTAATTGCACATAACATGTAAACATTCACAGTGCAGGGAGGAAAAAGTATGTGAACCTTTGGACTTAATAACTGGTTGACCCTCCTTTGCCAGCAATAACCTCAACCAAACGTTTCCTGTAGTTGCAGATCAGACCTGCACAACGATCTGGAGTAATTTTGGACCACTCCTCTTCACAAAACTGTTTCAGTGTAGCAATATTCTTGGGATGTCTGGTGTGAATCGCTCTCTTAAGGTCATGCCACAACATTTCAATCGGGTTGAGGTCAGGACTCTGACTGGGCCACTCCAGAAGGCGTATTCTGTGCTGTTGCAGCCATTGTTTTGTTGAATTACTTGTATGCTTTGGGTCATTGTCCTGTTGCATCACCCATCCTCTGTGGATCTTCAGTTGGCGGACAGATGGTCGTACGTTTTCCTGCAAAATGTCTTGATAAACTCTGGAATTCATTTTCCCATCAATAACAACAATCCGTCCAGGCCCTGAGGCAGCAAAGCAGCCCCAAACCATGATGCTCCCTCCGCCATGTTTTACAGTGGGGATGAGGTTTTGATGTTGGTGTGCTGTGCCTTTTTTTCTCCACACATAGTGTTGTGTGTTCTTCCCAAACAACTCAATCTTGGTTTCATCTGTCCACAGTATATTTTGCCAGTAGTGCTGTGGAACATCCAGGTGCTCTTTTGCAAACTTCAAACGTGCTGCAATATTCTTTTTGGACAGCAATGGCTTCCTCCGTGGTGTCCTCCCATGTACTCCATTCTTGTTTAATGTTTTCCTTATTGTAGATATGTCAACAAAAATGTTAGCATGTGCCAGAGATTTCTGTAGGTCTTTAGCTGACACTCTGGGATTCTTCTTTACCTCATGCAGCATTCTGTGCCTAGGGAGAGTAGCAACAGTGCTAAACTTTCTCCATTTGTAGACAGTCTGTCTTACCGTGGACACGTGAACATCAAGGCTTTTGGAGATACTTTTGTAACCCTTTCCAGGTTCATGCAAGTCAACAATTCTTGATCGTAGGTCTTCTGAGAGCTCTTTTCTGCGAGGCATGGTTCACATCAGACAGTGCTTCTTGAAACCAGTCAACCCAAAACAGGTGTGTGTTTTTTAAGGGCAGGACAGCTGTCAGCAACACATCCAATATCATCACACTGATTGGAGTCAAGGTTGGCTCACCCCTGGCTCCAATTAGCTCTGGGAGAAGTCATTAAGCTAGGGCCTCACATACTTTTTCCTCCCTGCACTGTGAATGTTTACATGTTATGTGCAATTAAACCATGGCAACATCTAATGTTTGTGTAGTATTATGTTCAGCAGACTGTGTTCTTCTATTGTTGTGACTTAGATGACGTTCAGAGCACATTTTATGCCCAATTCATGCAAAACTCCACGTAATCCCAAGGGGTTCACATACTTTTCTTGCAACTGTATCTTGCTGTTCATAGGCCATTAATCCCTTGATTAAGACCTTTGTACAGGAACATCCTCATGTGTAGCTCCTACTGTTTGTACTCATACGATTTTGCGATCTGAACCTGGTTATCTTGGCACTTCAAAACTGCTGTTTGAATTCATTAGACATTTGTTACGTTACTCTCACTGACAAGGTGGTGATGTTTTCTATAGCCATCACCTTTGCGAGGATTCTTCACAGAATGAACAGAATGAAGTGGATATTAACATTTATAGACAATAACAACAGATGGAGTGAGTGTGTAGGTCCAGGAAATAACCAGTTGCCTTGGGGGATTAGGAAGGCATTTCTTCCGCCACTAGAACAAATTTGACCATGCGTTTTTAGCGTTTTTTTGCCTCCCTCTGGTTCTACTACAGGTATAGGGTTCTGTATATGGAAGTTTTCTGTTGCGTCAATTATTTTCTCTTCATTGAACTAAAAGGGCTTGTGTATTTTTTTTCCTCAACCTAACAACCTAACAATGTCTGTTCCTCTGTTGTGAACTTTGATGAATCATTTCTGATTGATGCTATAGCTACAGAGGTGAGGGCTTGTTTTATTATGTTTTTACTGCTTGTTTGTTATATTTTACTGTGTAAATACTTTAGTGTGCATAATCTGGTTTCAGGTTCACTTTAAAAGCTTCCTGCTTCAAATAGGAGAAAGTAAAACTGGTGTTTTGAGAAGGTTTGGGTATCCTTATAGGGTAGATAGAAGATCTTCCTTAAATTTTAACCTATGATTTTTTATTTTAAAACCTTGATAAGCATAATATGTTATTTGTAAATGCTACATCCTTCTTCACTAATAAAGGAACATTTTTGTCATTTTAGAAATATATCTAAAACTGATGGCTGTAATGTAAAGACAGGATCTTCACAATTGACTGAGTCTGAGAAGACAGTAGGGTGAGAACTGAAACTAATTGAGCCGTACAACCATGCACTAGTGTTTCTTTTTCTAGTTTTAATTTTCCTGTTTTGTGTGTTTTTTAATTAAATTTCCTTGAACAGATATAAGAAAGGAACTGTACATGCATGGTTAAAGAAAATATAGTGCATAGGATTGTATGTTGCATTGGGTCTATGTGGCACTGTTATATAAATAGTAGCTCTTCAAAGTTTAAAACACTTTGAAAGCTTGCAGGGGAAACAGAGGAGAAGGGGTGGATGGAACAAGGATTATGGTTTGAGATTGACAGTCAAGCTCCTTTTGGCAATAACTTTTTAACTTATCACAAATCCATGCAACTTTTGTTATATGGCACAGACTTCAAGGTGAAAGCATAGCCAGCACATTTGGTGAGCAGTTCAGAGCAGCAAACTCTGGCTAAGAACACTGTCACCGTCACAATTTTTGAACCCCTAAAGTTGCTGTCCAAACAACGACACCACTTGAGTAGATCTGTGTCACCTGTCAACGTATTGTGTTGATATACCAGTTTTCTCAGAGCTAGTAAAGAAAACTGTAGTAAAGACAGCATGGAGTCATGAAAGACAGAAGTTGTCAAACAAATCTTTTTTCTTTTTATGAGGGGGTGAGCAAAACCTTGGACAGAGGGGTGGCGGTGGACGTGGTATACTTGGATTTTGCAAAAGCGTTTGACACAGTTCCCCACACATGGTTAATGTGTAAGGTAAAGTCTACGGGCTTGGAAAAATCTGTATGTAGAAAACTGGCCAAAAGATCGTATTCAAAGAGTAATGGTTAATGATTCATACTCTGAATGGTCTAGGGTCGTCAGTGGTGTACCCCAAGGTTCAGTGTTGGGATCCTTACTTTTTAATATATTTATAAATGATATAGGGTCTGGGATTAAAAATTCCATTTCAGTCTTTGCAGATGACACCAAGCTGTGCAGTGGAATAAAGTCCTTACAGGATGTCTTCAACTTGCCAAGCCAACCTCAATGCACTCAATGCACTGTTTAATTGGGCAACTATCTGGCAAATGAGTTTTAATGTTGATACATGTAAGGTTCTGCACTTGGGGGCTAAGAATATGCATGCATCATACATACTAGGAGGATTACAACTGGGGGAATCAATGGTGGAGAAGGATCTGGGAGTTCTAGTAGATCACAAGCTTAATAATGGCATGCAATGCCAAATTGTGTTTTCTAAAGCAAACAAAATCCTCTCTTGTATTAATAGAGGTATAGACTCCAGTGAGAGAGATATAATTTTCCCCCTGTACAAAGCATTAGTAATACCTCATCTGGAACATGCAGTTCAGTTTTGGGCACCAATTCACAAAAAGAACATTGGGGAACTGGAGAAAGTACAGTACAGCGAAGGGCAACCAAACTGATACGAGGCATGGAGGAGCTCAGCTATGAGGAAAGATTAGAGGAACTGAATTTATTCTCTCTTGTGAAGAGGAGATTAAGGGGGGATATGATCAACATGTATAAATACATCAGTCGTTCATACAGTGAACTCGTTGTAGAGCTATTCACTCTGAGGTCATCACAGAGGACAAGGGGGCACTCTTTACGTCTGGAGGAAAAAAAAATGTACTCTACAAACACTGAAAGGTTTCTTCACAGTAAGAGCTGTGAAAATGTGGAATAGACTCCCTCAAGAGTTGGTTCTGGCCAGCTCCGTGGATTGCTTCAAAAAAGGCCTGGATTATTTCTTAGATACACAGAATATAACTGTACACTAACATTTATAGGTAACTTTGATCCAAGGAATTTCCGATTGCCATTCGGGGGATCAGGAAGGAATTTTTTTTTTCCCAGCAGGAGCAAATTGATCATGCGTTGCTAGGTTTTTTTTTGCCTTCCTCTGGATTAACTGTGGGTAAAGGATTATACAGGTGAAACTCAAAATATTAGAATATCGTGCAAAAGTTCATTTATTTCAGTAATGCAACTTAAAAGGTGAAAGTAATATATGAGATAGACTCATTACATGCAAAGCAAGATAGTTCAAGCTGTGATTTGTCATACTTGTGATGATTATGGTTTACAGCTCAAAGTGTCCCACTCTAATCAGCTAATTAAGCCATAACACCTGCAAAGGGTTCCTGAGCCTTTAAATGGTCTCTCAGTCTGGTTCAGTAGGAATCACAATCATGGGAAAGACTGCTGACCTGACAGCTATGAAAGTTATGTGGAAGGGAAAAAGTGTGGAAGAAAAAGGTGCACAAGCAGCAGGGATGACCGCAGCCTGGAGAGGATTGTCAGGAAATGGCCATTCAAAAGTGTTGGGGACTTTCACAAGGAGTGGACTGAGGCTGAAGTCAGTGCATCAAGAGCCACCACACACAGATGGATCCTGGACATGGGCTTCAAATGTCATATTCCTCTTGTCAAGCCGCTTCTGAACAACAAACAACGTCAGAAGCGTCTTACCTGGGCTAAAGAAAAACAGACCTGGTCTGTTGCTCAGTTGTCCAAAGTCCTCTTTTCTGATGAGAGCAACTTTTGCATCTCATTTAGAAACCAAGGACCCAGAGTATGGAGGAAGAATGGAGAGGCACACACTGCAAGATGCTTGAAGTCCAGTGTGAAATTTCCACAGTCTGTGTTGATTTGGGGAGCCATGTCATCTGCTGGTGTTTGTCCACTGTGCTTCATTAAGTCCAGGGTCAACGCAGCCATTTACCAGGAGATTTTGGAGCGCTGCATGCTTCCTTCCGCAGACAAGCTTTATGGGGATGCTGACTTCATTTTCCAGCAGGACTTGGCACCTGCCCACACTGCCAAAAGCAGCAAAACCTGGTTCAATGACCGTGGGATTACTGTGCTTGATTGGCCAGCAAACTCACCTGACCTGAACACCATAGAGAATCTATGGGGCATTGCCAAGAGAAAGATGAGAGACATGAGACCGAACAATGCAGAAGAGCTGAAGGCTGCTATTGAAGCATCCTGGTCTTCCATAACACCTCAGCAGTGCCACAGGCTGATAGCTTCCATGCCACGCCGCATTGAAGCAGTAATTGCTGCAAAAGAGGCCCAAACCAAGTACTGAGTTACATATGCATATCGACTGACAGGCAGGGGGAAGCATTTATAAATAAATACCCTGCCTGTCAGCAATTTTTTTTTAAATTAAGTTTTCTACCACTTTACAGAAAGGGATTGACTTTACATGCACACACACATAGAAACACTTTTTCATCAATTTATCCTGGTCCACAGAATTGTAGTTTGAACTTATATTTTTAATTGCTTTTAATGAAGTTATTGGGCCCATAGCAAGCAAATAATTTTTGTTTGCAGGTGTGCTGCTCCTTTTAAACTATTTGTGATTTGAAGATGGGCATGTTACCAGCTATGGGGACGTGGGAAAGCATGCCATTACAATGTAAAAGCAAAACTTGTCTTTAAGCTGTCAGGATGGGGTCTAGCAGAAGTTTGTGTATGGGATGTGAGAGCTCTCAGCTAACCAGCTAACCTGTACCTCGGAGTGCCCTGCCAAAAGAAAAAATGCCCGTAAACTCAAAGTGAGACCTACGTGTGTGAGAGAGAGGGTCTCGCTGGAGGAGTGGGGGCCTAAGGAAAGCTGCGGAGTGTGGAGAGGAGGTCGTGGGTACGAGCCGGCGGGAGAAGTGGAGCAGAGCAAGCGATAACCACCGCAGCGGGACGGCTGTGATTCCAGTCTGGCGCGGTGAGTTGCCTGGTGCTCGGAGGACTCTGGGACGAGCACGTGACCTGCCGCAAGGGAGCACTGGGAGGAGGAGAAGCCGGCTGGCGTTCTCAGGCAGATGGAGACGCCAGATCTCCCCTCATGGACCCAGGACAGATACAGCCAGAGAACCATAGGAGTCAGTGGGGAGAATCCCCCCTAAGCAAACAGTGTTCCAAGTGGAGGGGCTGTCAGAAAATAACAGTCCCCAGAAGAAAGGACTTGAAGCCGCCTCACTCAGGATAGAACAGAGAAGATGACAAGAGGTTGAGTGAGTGAGAGCGGCAAATTATATTTAATAAATATAAATAAAACGAACTGAACTGTGTATTAAAATCAAAGGGGGGGCTCACCCAGGGGGTCTAAAGGAAAAGGAGGACAAAATAAAACAGTCTAGGACCCTGAAGAAATAGAACCTGGCAGAGAGGAGATAGAAAAAGGAAAAACTATAGACTGAAATTGTTGGAAAATTTAAAAATGTTAAACCTGACAATAAAATAAAAGTAAATCCCCCAGAGCTCGGATAAGTTGAAATAGTTCTCAATGGCATGAAGAATGAAGTGTCTAAAGGAGGTGGGCCCAAGGCTTCCCTAACAGGTACAATTAAGAAATATATACCTTCACAGGAGAACCTGACCCCAGAAAGACAACAGGGAATAAGTGAAAGGAGCGAGCTGGAAATCAGTATGGAAGAGTGTCCTAGACTATCCCTGGGAATAGTTAATAGCAGTCAACAAACGAAACAAGAAGTGGAGGTGGAAGAACAAGAAAAGTACTTACAAATGCCAACTAAAAAGGAAATAGAAATGTTTAAAGGTCTTGAAAAATCAATAAAACAAGAAATGGCGATAATACAGAAAGATCTGGGGCAAATATTATCAAGAGTGGAGGAGACTGAAGGAAAAGTGGATAAACATGCCCAAATTATCCAGAAATTAGGAAAACGGATGATAGAATGTGAAAAGAACAAAGAAATCTGCTATATAAAATAGAAGATCAAGAAAATAGGGATAGGAGATGTAATCTAAGGATACGAGGACTTCCAGAGATCTCACAAGGAGAGGATTTAATGGGTATAATAAGTAAAATACTGAACACTATAATGGACAGATTCACATCAGAGACCCTTAAATTGGATGGAGTATATAGAATAGGAAAACATCAACAAGAAAGGGGTAAAGAAAAACCGAGAGATTTAATTGTGCAATTTCATAATTATTGGGATAAAGAAGAGATCTGGAGGAAGAACAGCTATAAAATATGGAGACATA